AATGAAGCCTGACAGATACTTTGCCAGCCAGGTGTTCAAGGCCAACATCAACAGGCATAGATAATGTGCCCTTGACAGGATGTGATGGGATGACCACTTTACCTCTGTGGTCTTCCTCCCCTAAACCCATCATCCCAGTCTTATCATGAGGAAAACATCAGACAAATTCCAATAGAGGGACATCCTACAAAATATCTGACCAGTTCTCAAAACCGCCAAGGTCATCAAAAACACGGAAAGTCTGAGAATCTGCCACAACCAAGAGAAGCCTAAAGAGACAGGACAGCCCTAGCCGGTCCAGTCAAGGGCACAGACCTTGGTTGCTGGCTCCTCTCCAGCCCAGGCCCTGGTCAGGGTTCGTGCAGGAGGCAACCAATCAATGTGGTTCTCTCACATCAATGTTTCTCTCTTTCTCTCTCTCTCTCTCCCACCCTCCCTAAAAATCAATGGAAAAATATCCTTGGGTGATACAAAAGAGAGAGAGAAGGGGGCAGGGAGAAGAGATCAACCAAAGAACTTATATGCATACTAGAGGCCCAGTGCACGAATTCGTGCATGGGTGGGGTCCGGCCGGTGGCCCCAATCAGGCAGGGTGGGCCAGGGGGAGGGGACACAGGAGGTTGGCCGGCCAGCCCCGCCCCCAATTGGGGTAATGAACTCCTTTAGCTTTTTCTTGTCTGTGAAGCTCTTTATGTGGCCTTCAATTCTAAATGAGCTTTGCTGGGTAGAGAAGGGCGTGGCAAGAAATATTCAAAGTGCCAAAGAGCAAGGACCCGCAACCAGGGTGACCTTCCTTTTGAAAGGACGCGGCTTCTCTGGGGGTGAGGGTTCAGTCTCCATGAAACCTGGGTCAGTCTTTGCATTGGGCAAGTGGAATCGCTGAGTCCTATTTGAGAGTCGCCAAAGCTGAGAGCGTGATCTCAGAACAGTTAAAAACACGTTTGTGAGGGGATGCCATGGGTTCTCTCTCATCAAAAAGCCCACATGTGTCTGTGCTACACTAACAGGGTTACTTTAACACTGAAGCCTCCATCCGTAAGCCCACCCACCTCCAGGAGCTGGCGGGAGGTTGAAAGTGGCCGAGTGGTGCCAGGCGACCTAGCAGGTCTCAGTGGAGGATTTGACAGCTTCGGCAGGGGCTTCAGAGCTTGTTGCTATTTTGTTTTATTTTTTATCTCCTTTTCCCTTTAAACCTCTCCAGACTGTGTGCGTTCGAGAGAGGAGCAGCCTTTGCAGCCTCCTTGGGGGAGAGCACACCTTCGATCTGGGTTCACACGCAGCCGGACAGAGTCCTGTTTAGAAACAAGTGTGAGTCTTGCATTATTTGTGCTATTACCGATAAAGAGGTGTTTAGATTCTGGCACGTAAATATGTTTCCTGCTTATCCATAAGGGCAAGAGGCCAAGCGCAGCCACAGGCACAGCTACAGTTCTTCACTCACTCACAGGCCTCCATCCAAGGGCAACGATGCAGGCGCTTTGCACACAGAGGGGGCCGGGGAGCAGAGTCGGGCAGCAAACGCAGAACACGGCCATCTGCAGCCTTGCTTTTCCCAGACCTTCTGTCTTAGTCCCGATCGGCCACTCTGGGTCTGTAGTGTCTTATTCTTGAGGCAGATTCAGGCATCTGCGGGACATGATGTTTATCACACACTGTTTCTCCGTGTGGGTGGTCAGCATGGTGGTCCTGAATCAGGCTACCTCAGCATTGTGGTGGTGGTCGGGGGGACAGCATGAAGGTGTGAACACAATCCATGCAGACTCCTCACTGAGCGCCTTCCGTATACCTTCTGTATACCTGGCGGGCGTCTCCCCTCAGAAGGGGTGCCAATAGCTCAATCGCGTGTTCCCTGTGCCCGAGACCAGCAGGTGCAGGGGGTGGGGGGTGCCTGAACGGGGTTGAGGCCAGCAGACGGGAGGGGCTGCGGGAGGTTAGGGGGGCCGCGGGAGATTGGGGGGTGCCAATCGGGGCTGGATCAGACTGGTTGGCTGCTGCAATGCACGTCATGGCCACCAGTAGTTCCAGTTGTTCTGGTCGTTCCATCTTAATGGTCGCTGGGCTTTTATATATATAGACTAGAGACCCGGTGCATGAAATTCCTGCACTGGGAGGAGGGTCCCTCAGTCTGGCCTGCGCCCTCTAACAGTCCGGGACCCCTTGCTCCTTACTGCCCACCTGCTCGCTGCTCCTTAGCGCTGCCGCAGAGGCGGGAGAGGCTCCTGCCACCGCCACTGTGCTCACCAGCCGTGAGCGCTGCTTCTGGCTGAGCAGCGTTCCCCCTGTGGGAGTGCACTGACTACCAGGGGGCAGCTCCTGCATTGAGTGTCTGCCCCCTGGTGGTCAGTGTGCATCATAGCAATTGGTCATTCTGTCATAATGGTTGCTTAGGCTTTTATTATATACTAGTACCGTGGTCGGCAAACTGCGGCTCGCGAGCCACATGCGGCTCTTTGGCCCCTTGAATGTGGCTCTTCCTAAGCTTTAGGAGTACCCGAATTAAGTTAATAACAATGTACCTACCTATATAGTTTAAGTTTAAAAGATTTGGCTCTCGAAATTTCAATCGTTGTACTGTTGATATTTGGCTCTGTTGACTAATGAGTTTGCCGACCACTGTACTAGTAGATATGCATAACCCATGGACACAGACAATAGTAGGGTAAAGGCCTGGGGAGGGGATGGGAATGGGGAAGAAGGGGGGGTCAATGGGGGAAAAATGGGACATCTATAATACTTTAATAAAGATAAAATTTTTAAAAATTCTCATCACAAGAACAAAAAAATTATAACTAGGTGTGGTGATGGATGTTAGTATGTTAGTTAAATTCATTGTGGTGACTATTTTGCAATATATCGATATATCAAATCATTATGTTGCACAGCTAAAACTAATATAATGTTATATAATAAGTATTTTTTTAAAAAAGAGAAAGATGGGGGAGGGGGAGAATAACTAAATGTAATATGATATCCTGGATGGGATTCTGGAAGAGAAAAAGAACATTATGTAAAAACAAAGGAAATTAAATTAACTATGAACTTTGGTTGATAATGCTGTATCAATTTTGGTTCATTAGTTATAACAAATGTATCATACTAATAAGAGATATAACTAATAGGGGAAACTGGGTGTGGGGAAAATGGTAGCTCTGTACTTTCTTCGTAATAGTTCCATAAATCTAAAACTGTTCTAAAAGATAGTTTATTAATGCCAACAATAAAGTATAGATGAATAAATGAAGGACTTCATTCTTCATGGTGACAATGATCATTGCTCCCTTCTCATAGAGATGTTTCAAGAATTACACGGGAGAACCTGCAAAAGCATTTAGCACACAGTACATGCTCAATTCAGAGCACTTGCCACCATTCTCATAAATCTATGTCATCTGCTATGGAAGCCATTGGCCCTATTGTGATTATTTAAATTTCAATAAGTAAAAATTAAATATATTAAAAATTCAGTTCTTTAGTGTAACCAGCTACATGTCAAATGCCCAAAAACCACATGGAGCTAGTAGCTACTAAATTCGTGCTGATAAAACACATGCCCATCAGCATAGAAAGTTCTACTGGACCAACACTGCACTAAACAATGAATACCATAGTTCTTTGTTCAGTCTTTTCAACTCCTTCCAGTCCTTGTGCAAATGCCATCTTCTCAACCATCCTGACCACTATCTTTCAAATTGCTACCCCCACATTTCCCCTGCCCTTCCCCAATTTATTTTTCTCTTTACCACTTTTCACCACTTGATGTGGAACCCCCTTGATTTCTTTTCTGCCTCCCCTATATAGCACTGCAAGGTCAAACACAGTAGCACTGGCAACATGTGGCTGTTGAGCCCTTGAAATGTAGCCAATCCAACTGTAAATGGGCTGTGAGTGTTCAAAGAATGTGTGAAGGAAAAAAAAAAGTAAAAGATCTCATAACCTTTTTTTTTAATCCTTACCTGAGAATATTTTTTCCATTAATTTTTAGAGAGAGAAGGGAAGGAAAGAAAGAGGGAGAGAAAGAGAAATATCAATGCGAGAGAAGACACATCAATTGGTGGCCTCCTGCATGCGCCCCGACTGAGGCGGGGGATGAACTTGCAACCCCAGGTACGTGCCCTTGACCAGGAATTGAAGCCCCGATCCTTTGGTGGGCAGGCTGACGCTCTAACCACTGAACCTCAGTGGCCAGGCATCATAACTTTTTATATCGGTTACACGTTAAAATAACATTTTGGACATAAATTGGGTTAAATAAAACACATTATTAAAATTAACATCACTTGTTTCATTTTACTTTTTCCCTTTAACATGGCTACTAGAAAATTTAAATTATGCATGTGGCCAACATTTGTAACTTGCTTACATTTATTTCTACTGCAAAGTGCTGATCTAAAATATGAGCCCAGTAAGGGCAGATATTTTTGTCTATTCAGTGCCTGGCATATAGTAGATGCTCAATAACATTTTAATGAATGAATGTTGGGCTGAGCTTCTGGGAACCCAAGAGCTATAATAGTCAACACTGTTGAAATGCTGACACGTCCATGTCCCACCTCCACACCACACCAGATAAGGAAACTGAGGCCCATTGAGATGATGACATCAGGCCTTGTCCAACCGCGCGTAGTGCGGAAACGTCAGGGCCAGGATTCGAACACGGGTTCTGTCCCCATAGCCCAGACGCGCTGACCGTTCCTACCTCATAGGGCGGTGGACGCCGGGGACATGACAGACAGGGGCGGGCACACAACATGCGTTCCACAAGGTGCGTGGCTCTTCCACCACCGCCTTCAGTTGGCCTCCGTGATCCGGACACCACCTGGACCATACCGCAGCCATCGCTGGCCACCCGGGTCTCACCTGCCATCTAGCTCTTCGTAGGCAGCGCCAGACGGAAATCCCTCCTCCACCGCGCGCCTCAGGACGCCGCGACAGCCACGCTGGCCAATGAGAAGCGCGCCGTGGCGAACGCCGGCCAATGGG